CGAAAGTACCCACTATCTTCCCCATTACCCTAAAAGTCATGCTTGTCGTGAAACCTGACGGGTTCAGCAATCTCCGAATCAGTCCAGTATGTGAGAGCACTTTCTTTTGAGCTGTATATCTCGGCAAATTTCATTTGAATTCCGGCACTTCTTTTTTCTTGCCATATTTGGTTATATCGGCTTCAGTTTCTGTAAAACCAGACAGGAAATTTTGAACCCTGACTACGGATTCCTGAATGCCATAAACACAAAGAGTGCTAGTGAGACAATAGGGGGGGACAAGCCGAACCTCCTCTGGTGTGTATGATTTAGAAATTAAAAGAGAGTAGTAAGGAGCGTTGAACTAGGTCGCCTTAACAACACGACCAATTAGCGAAAATAAGGCCGAATCATTTCTTTACTCATTCTAGCCAATTAGGATGATTTAAAGGCTGATAGTGGTGATCTTATCTCAATACTAACAGTAGGTCGCACTGAGACCTGCTCTCTAAAATATTTTTACATTCAGAATAATGTTTGGGAGACTTTCATTTCGTATGGAACTGCATGAAGAAGAGATAGGAAGTTCGATCTCACCGGAAGACGGCGGCTGATTTGCTCTATACTGCATCCGTTTGGCTTTGACATTACGTTCAGGTTGACGCAGTTCACGAGGCATCCTCCCTCGTTTCGGGGGAGGATGGCCATCATCAGAGCTCACATTAACAACTGGCCAAGAAGACTCTAATCATATGATGGACGAAGGCTCAGATCGCTTTCACCAGAAACGAGGGTGGATGCCTCGTGGACTGTGACAACCTGAACGTCATATTAAAGTTAAATGGCGGCAATACAACGCGAATCAGCCTTCGTCTTCTGACGAGGTCGAGCTTGGAATGTCTTCTTAATGTGCTTTCATACGAAATGAAAGTTTCCTCAGCAAAGGTCATCACTGGAGACTCATATAGAACCAGTTACTCTTCGTATCATGCACACTAGACTGGCATTGCCAGGCCCCGACAACAGACTCGACGGGGATCACACCCTTTCACACACAAACCCTGCTTATTCGCTGAATAAGTTCAGTCTAAAAGACAGGGTTCAACATAACTGCACAAATCGTGCAGCCTTTTAAAGAACACTTTTAAGGGTAAACCAAATGGTTGGATCTGGCCAGGTTTTGTGACCCCAGTCGCCAGTCAATACGTCTGAGACTAAACTTTGCCGGACAAAATCCGAAGTCATTCTGATGAAGCTGGAGAAGCTTGTCTACTGTGAGGTTGATGAATGAAACACATACAAGATTGGTGTTGAGGTGAACCAGAAAGGTACGTAGAAGAGATGATGTCATGAGGAAATGGACTTGAGAGAAAACGACACCTGAACGGGATCGTAAAGAGGGCACTAGGGCCGCGGTCCGCGAAGACGCATTCAGATAGGCTGGGGCCGATGGGACAGACCTGGACCAGCTTCTACAGACTAGAAATGTCCTTTCACCCTGTCCTGGCCGTCCTGATTGGTCGGACATTATGCCAATCCACTTATTCTTCCCTCTGACTTACTCATCGCATGAACGAAACGACACCTGTGTGTTTGTGTATGTGTGTAATCACAAGTAGGTTCATCAGCATTTGCAGGCTAACTTTGGGCTCGAATGCACAGAG